CAGTAATGCTTCCCAGGGCTGGCTGCTAGAATGGCCCAACCCTCCCATGCTGGTCCCGCTGCCAGCAGTCGACAGAGTGAAACCCTAAGCCATGGCTTCTCTCATGCTCAGGGCTAGCCGAGAGGTCTCCAAGGTAGAGGAGCAGCGTGAAAGGGACTGGCTTCCAGCCGGAGAAGGCACCTGCCCTGGGTGGCAGGGCATGGAGGAGGGCAAGAAAACAGGCTAGTGGGAGGGCCAGCTTCGTACCCGTGCTGAATCCAACCAGCACGGGGCACTCCCTGAGCTAGGCCTAGGATGCACAGCTCCAGTCCAGCCTCCACTCCTTGCCGCAGAACCAGCGCTAGGCATGAGCAGACTTAGCAATGGCTTAGGGCCCCAAGCAGTTCAAGGGGGCCCCCTATTCGTGTTTTTAGTATATGATGTGTGTGGGGAGTGACAAACATATTTCTCCTTATGGCCCCCAATGGGCTAGCACTGTCTCTGCCCTGCCGGCAGCGCTGGGAGAATCTTCCGATTCCCCTTCTGTCTGGATTCACTTACTAGTTGCATGCCCAGCGGCCCTGGTTCTTCTCCTGCTCCCAGGCGGTACTGTCACTCCAAGGGGCCCTGCCATGGCATCTCCCTGGGCTGTAACAATGCTGCTCCCACAATAGTTGTGGACTCTCATTAATAATTCAATCCCTTTCTGTGTGTGTTGCTAAAATAAACACCGGCCCTACCAACAATACCATCTATGCCGCTTACTGTCTTCCTTATGCTGGTGAAAGGCCCTCCCCCCATATGCCCATCTACTTTTAGGCTGAAAACTCCCCAAAGCACTCTACAGATCAGAGTCGCTTCACCCACCATTGAAATGCTACCACCTCTCGGGGATGGCACAGCAGCTGTTAAAGAGGAACAGCAACACTGTCTTCTATCCAGTAGAGACTGCAGGGGAGTGTAGATAGCAGGATGCACTTGGAATCTGGGCAGAACAGCTCAGGTGGGCATTATTCTTCCCTCGGTTTGATTTTTGTCATCACCTATTGCCTGGGAACCAGGAATGGGAAAGCTGATGCCTTATCTCGAAAG